ATTGCTGGTGGGAATGCAAACGGGTACAGCCCCTTTGGAACAGAGTTTTATAATTTATCAAAAAGTTAAACATATATTTACCATATTACTCAGCCATTCCACTCCCAATTATCTACTCAAGAGAAATTAAAACATATGCCACGCAAAGACTTATAAGCAAATGTTGATAGCAGTATTATTCTTGATAGTTCAAAATGGAAAGCAATTTAAATGCCTTTTATTTGGTGAGTGAATAAACAAAATACGGTATTTTCAAGTACTAAACTACTACTCAACAATAAAAATAAAGAACTATAATATATGCTACAATATGAATAAACCTCAAAAGCATTATGATGTGTAAAAGCATCTAGATACAAAAGACTACATATTGTATGAACCACTTATACGACATTTTCAGAAAGGGTTTAAGTATAGAGACAGAAAGTAGATTAGTAATTGCCTGGGGTAGGAGTAGGAGCAGAGGTTGATTGCAAAATAGGAACAAAGGAATTTTTATGAGAGAAACAAGCAATCTAAAGCTGGATTCTTATGATGTTTGCACAACCACAGGTGAATTTTGTGGTATGTAAAATATATCTCAATAAAGCTTTTTAGAAAAACTACCGGGACAATGACCCTGGCTGGGTAGCACAGTTGGTTAGAGTGCTGTCCCAATACACCAAGGTTGTGGGGTTGATCCCTGGTCAGCGCAGAAACAAGAATCAACCAACGAATGCATAACTAAATAGAACAACAGAACTGATGTCTTGTTCTCTTTCAAATCAATAAATTAAAAAAGAATTAAAAAAAAAGTACCAGGACACCCTGGCTGGTGTGGTTTAGTGGACTGAGTGCCGGCCTGTGAATCTAAGGGTTACCGGTTCAATTCCAAGTCAGAGCACATGTCTGGGTTTTGGGCCAGATCCTCAGTAGAAAGCATGTGAGATGCAATCACACATTGATATTTTCTCCGTCTCTTTTTCCCTCCTTTCCCCTCTCCCTAAAAATAAATAAATAAAATCTTTTAAAAAGTAACAGGATACAAATCAAGAGAAAAAATTCAGGGCACATATCTAATCCCCAAACCATCCATAGACATTAGGTTAAGAATTTATATATTATACTTGGATTAATTAAATAGTTGATTATTTATTATTCAACAGGAATTTCCAACAACTTTCCATTACTAAAATTACTTACCCTCAAACAATTTTTGTGAGAAAATCTTACGTATTTTTTGTTAACTACAAAATAAACACACCTCTCTACCACAGTTCACAATACAGAGCTAACTGAATCTCATTACATTTCTGTGCACAGAAATGAAGCCAGACAGAAGAGGCCATTTTTCCTTGCTCTTACGTCAGCTCACCTTTGGCACTTTCCCTGTAGTTAAGGTGAAGATATGTCCTGGCTTATGCTATTGAAACTGCTAGTACAACTCTGTCCCCCTCTCACTCTCAAAAGTGTCCTGGGTGGATGGTAAATTATACACTCAACCTGATTACAGAAGCATTACTTTCATCCTTAACTTCCATCAACAAGAAAGGGAACACCTAAAGGCTTTGAATGCCTTAGTTATAAATCATACAAATGTAAAAATTTCACAGTGAGTCATTTTACATTTGAGAATCTGGGGCACAGAGAAATTAAAATGAGAACCCTAAAACCACATCTTTTAGATTAGGTGTCTATAAAACTACCATAACTACTACCCTTTAAAGAATAAGAGTTTTTGGTGGGTAAGTACAATTTCTGAAGGGTAAGTGCATTTCTCTCTTGGAGGTAGTAAATAATACTATCTCCATGTCATACACAAGGAAAGAGATTTTGAAATGTTACCCTGCCTAAGGTTATAAGGTGGTTAAATAATGAAATGGGGTGCAAACTTAGGTCTGCTTGACTCCAAAGATCGTCTCTTAACCTCTAAGCACAATGCCTCTCCTGAAGGGAAACACGGATGTGGGTCCAGGTGTGTGCATGTGCACCTGTGTGCAATACATCCAAAGCAGCTCTTGAGTTGAGGTCCATGAGACTAGGGACTCTATAAGTTGGTTTAAGGCAGCCTGGTCATTAAGAAATTACATGTAAAACTTCATAGGTATATATATAAATTTCCTTCTAGAGAAAGAATCTAGAACCTACACTAGATCCTTAAAAGTATTTATCACACATACAAAAAATAAGTACCTTTTAGATTGCTTCAGTAGGGAAGTTAAACATTTAAGATAATCTATATATTTTATATCAGCTATCACAGTCATAACTAAAAGATTTGCCAAACCAAATTATTAACAGATATTACTGAGGAAGTATATACTAGTGATATATACTAGTAATATAAATATCATAATTATACAATGTGCATATTTTAGATTTTGTACTTTTAAAAAATTAGGGTCAAGCCCTCTTTTGGTAACAGACTATATGACCTGTGGTCACCACAAAGAGCAATAAATGATGGTAGAGCTGTTCACTACTGGTGGTTAAATCTATTAAAGTAGCTGTGCATTAAGCAGAGTTTTCTCACATGCTCTATTGACCTAAGGTAAAATTAATCAAGAAATACAAAATAAGAAAGACATATAATTTGGCAGTAGTAAGGACACTCCCTGAGTTACTGGTACATTAAATCAAAAAATTTTGTGCTTCTATTTCTTGATAGCCAATATGAGTTACTTTTCCTATTGGTAGGAAATTTAGAAGCCACTGTTTAAAGAAATGTATCTTTTCCAACAGGACAAAAAGCCACTTTCTCAGGCCCTCTTTCCCAGAGCTCACTGGACCCCATAAAGCATGACTGACCCTAATTGTTTTATGAGCCTTTATCCTCAGGACCAGAACATTACTGGAAGCACCCTGAAGGTGCAGAGGCTCCGGAACTTGTGAAACAGAACACCCCAGACCACAATGGCCACGAACCCTGCACCCAAAGATAACGTCAAAACACTTTGCAGCCTAACTCAAACATCCTGCTCTACAACCGCCCCATTACCCTATAAACACTCACAGCCCTGACCCCTCTGGGCTGGGGCTGGTGCGTTCTCTACACCTAGGCCTTTCCTTCCCCTGGGAAAGTGAAAATAAAACCTTTACTCTCTGCACTTTCTTCTCTTTGTGAATTCTTTCATGGCCCGTGTCATCAAACACCTGAACACTTCCAGCTTTTGTAAAAATATTACCTTCAATCCCTCACACAACACAGGGACAACCTACTAGCATTTATGTTCTTGGATAACATGCAGACAGATACGCCAGTACAACTGTACCACTGTTACATTACTGAAATATTTTCATGCAGATTAGCATACAGGATAATAGTAACTGCATTAAGTGGTAATATAATATAAATTCCCAAATAAACTCACTAGTTCAAGTTAATTGACTCTGAATATCTTAAAAACCACTGGCAGATGACTGTACTGTTGTAGTATAATTTAGTTGATATTGAATATACATAAGCTACTGGATACATATTACTATATACTGACAATATATAACAATTTCAGACAATGTTATGAAAGCTGGAAATTTTTGAATGAAATGCTGCTAGTTTTGCAAAAGCCAAGAAGACTCAACATTATGAACAGTATTTTCTACATCAAGAGAAATTCTCTTGAGACTATCCAATCGTGTTACCCCGCAGAGGTCATGCGGGAGGTAAGAGGACCTGGGAGTGGTGCTGGCATAGATGTGGACGGCACCCAGTCGGACGTTTGACGGGCCAGGACAGTGAGAGGGGTAAGTGTGATAGCCGCCCACTGCTCTGCAGGAGCCAGAGAGGAAACGAAGTAGGTGGCATGGGGAGGTGGCATTATGGTGCACTGGCTTTGGGCCATGTGGGAAATACTGGCATCTGCGCACATACCGAGTTTTGACTGGGGTCGACATACCTAGCTGGCCTCAGCTGTAAACAAGTACTGAGTGCTGCCTTTTAATTTATATAGATATATTACTTTATCAGTTCTTTATGTCTTGAAGAGGTAAGAAAAAGAAAGCCAGTTACTATTTTTCTTATTTTGATTCTGGCTTATTTTTCCTTTCAACTTCTCCATATTATAAGTAAGTAATCACAAATGGATATTTCCTCCAAGTTTAGAGAATGTGGCAGATACGAACACACTGTCTATATATTCAGATAACTAAACAGCTCTGGGAGGGGGTTTTGATAACATTGCAACTATCTATATTGACTAAATACAGAGGATCCTAGGACTTTCATGGTTCGCCTGGGGTTTGTTCAGTTTCAGGTGTCCTTATAAGTTTGGAGGATATTCTTTTGATGGCTGCTCTAAGAATTAATGTTTATAAGGTTGAAATTAGAGTTCTAGCAAACTAAACTTAACACAGAGTAAATATATTTAACAGTCAGCTCTAAGCAAATAATCTAAACTGTAAATGTACAATACGGGGTAAGAGAAATGACAAGAAGAGTAGTAAACGTATCTCCTCTACTACTGTAAAAACAAGCAAAATTTAGATCCTATTGTCAGTGTGCAGCATCATGGACATTTACAAAGCACCGCATATAGTCCCCAAGCATCTGTTCATTCTTATCCACATCAAGAAGAGTATTATAGTCTTGACTCTAAAGGAAGAAAAAGACAAGCAAGGGGTGGGGGTAGGTCTCAACTTTGAATTGCTTCCATGTAGACTCCGATACCAGGAAGGGGCTGGAATGTTTATTATCCATATATGAAGACCCAATGGTTAGAAAATATAAAAGATGGTGCTTCTGTGATCTTCCATTCACTGTGCCCCCAGTTTTAAAATCAATGAAAAAAAAAACCAGTAATATTCCATACTTCTGAAAACTTGATGGGTCTATTAGTTTTTCTCACCAATTCCTCCTCTAAATTCACTAGATACTCATTCAAATTTTATTTCTCTTCTTTAAACTACCTCCTTCTTTCTCTGACTCGCAGCCAATTTTAAGCAAAAGAGTATAGTTTATAAATTTATGTCAATTAGAGGATGGGAAACAAAGAAATGGATTAAATGGATTTGCTAAAACTCACCATCAGAGGGCACAACAGTACTGCAATACACCACACCCAAATTCTGCCAAGAAGAGAGCCTCTGCTGCACCTGCAAAACACAAAGACACATCTACAGTCAAGACAGAACAACAAATGTTATACGCACATCTGTGTATATATAAAAAGAATAGCTTTTTGAATACTTAAGTAATATGTATTCTTTGTAGAGAAGTTAAAAAATACAGATAAAAGATTCTCAGGCTGGTGTAGCTCAGTGCATGGAGTGCCAGCCTGTGAACCAAAGGCTTGCCAGTTTGAAACCCAGTCGGGGCACATGTCTGGATTGCAGGCCAGGTCCCCAGTAGGGGGCGCATGAGAGGCAACCACACATTGATGTTTCTCTCCCTCCCTTTCTCCTTCCCTTCCTCTCTCTCTAAAAATAGATAAATAAAAATTAAAATAAAAAATACAGATAAAGAAAACAAAAGTTTCTCAAACTCCCATCATCCTAAAATACCAAATTTTGCCATGTATACTGCACACTCATATTTTTGTGGGCAGTATACACGGGATGACTGCACCCACAGTAAGTAGCCATTAGAGCCATGTGTAATGCACGTCCTTATTTTTCCCTCAAAAATCTGGGCAAAGGTGTGCATTATTCACCGCAAAACAGGGTAATGGTAATGAACATTTTGGTTTGTTTTCAAGATTGCATACAAACACATTTATATACACATATCACACACACTGTTTTTTCATCTACTTTTAAAGACAATATTACTTTTAAGTGCCATCAAGTGTAAACTAAAGTTTCCTGCTTCCTCCTCTTGCTGGTTTTTAGGCCTGCATTTCCGAAATGTCTTTTGCTAGGTATCATTAGTTATTAAGTAACTGTACCACGAATTTACTGTTATTAGGTAAATATTTTAGTCTTTCTGTTTATTCTCCTCTAAAAAAAAGCTTGGTCAGGCAACTTCATTCCTTGAATCTTTAATCACTACCATCTTTTGAATGTTAGAAGGAAAACATTTCATCAAAGAGTAGTGTCATTGTGCATTCAGATCTGAAATTCAGGTTCTCACATTAAACTAAGTTTCAGAAAGAATACTGAATTTGTTTCTGTCTTGCCACATGCTTAATTTATCCCTCTGTACCTTTTACTTTCCCAGCCCCCCAAAATGCTAAAGGAGTAAGAAAGGAAGGCATTAACTGACTAAAAACCAATGTGTTAGCCTCAGAGCCAGATACTACATTCCACTCCATCCGCCCAAAGAGAGGTCACTCAGAACTCTACGACTGCACGTGCCTTGACACAGCTGTGGCGCATAACGACGTCACATCCTTCAGGTGAATATCATTAACCCCCACTCCTTCCCACAGAGAGCACACAGAAACGTGAGTTGGCATTTATTTAAAAATGTAAATAATCATTTAAAATTACTTGAGACTTATTCCACAGTTGATCACGACACAGTAATGTGTTTAGACAGTGGTATTATCTTTAAGTTAATATATGGTGATGGGCAAAAGTAGGTTTACAGTCGTAATACAAATAAATAATACAATAATAAATAATAATACAACGATAAACTCTGTGCTTTGTGTACTTACCACTGTAAATCTAGTTTTGCCCACTCCTATGTATGGTGACTTTACTGTGGACTGTGACTTTCAAAAACTTTTTAAAAAAAGTTTCAAAACAGTTAAACTCAATCTTACTCAGAGGCCCAGGGATGCTCTGGTTTAAGACTGGTGTGCTGGTAAACCCTACGATCCCAATCCTTCACTTGAGACCCCTAAAGGGATTGAAAGAATACGTGGGCTCTATGAACTGGTTTGAAAACTAATGCTGGAAGGCACAGGGAGACGAGTCTGATGCCTTATTCTACACAGGAGAAAACTGAGACCCAAAGAAGGAAATAATTTACTGAAAGTTACATATCAGAATCAGGATTAGCATCCAGGCTCAAAGCTGCTCATCATCTATACCAGGGGTATCAAACTCATTTTCACGAAAGGGTCACATCAACCTCGCAGTTGCCTTCAAAGGGCCAAAATAATTTTAGGACTGTATAAATGTAACTACTCCTTAACTGTTAAGGAGTTGAAATTATGTCTGGCCTTTTGAAGGCACCCGTGAGGCTGATGTGGCTCCCGGTGAAAATGAGTCTGACACGCTCTATACAAACTGCTCAGGGCCTCGGTCTTGTCTGCTATGTGTCTCAGTGTGCTAGGATATTTAGGTATTTCTTAGCAATATGATTTTATTTAAAATGTTTATTTTATATTTTTTGAATAAATAGGACAAGTAAATGATATAAAATTCAAAAGTAGAAAAATGAAGTAAAAACTACATCTTTTACACTTAATATTGTTTTTCCTCCTCTCCCTGTGGCCCAGCTGCTCTTTCTTCTCTCTAAAGTTAACTCTGGGAATCTAATCAAAGGCAGCGCTACACACACACGGTCCGTGCGTTTGTGTGTGTGTCGGGGGAGGTTTTAAAAAACATATATAGCAGCATGCTGAGGCCCCATCACTCATTTGTTTTTTACTTATCTTACTGGTTTTTAGTGACTGAATGGAATTACATGGTACATATTTACAAATGCCTACTAGCAATCTTTGATTATTAAAATACATGGTACTAGAGTGAATATCTTTGCCGATGGGTACAGATATTGGAGGTCGAAATACTTCAAGAGAAAGTGACAGTTAAAGTTATGTATACTTTACATTTTGAAAGCTATTAACAAATTGTTTTTCAGGGAGGTTATATGCATTTACATACCTACAAATTATGCTCTTGTTCACTTAATGAGTATCTGGTTCCCAACACCTCCCTAAACAATGTATTATCAAATTTATTTTGCAATGTCATGGGCGAACAGTATTTCACTATAGTTGTAACTTGCATCTTTGTATTACCACCGAGGATTTACGCACGTTTTTGCCTGTCAAAGCATTACTTATATTTGCTTTCCTATGAACTAAGTATGTATATGCTTTGTCAATTTTTTTCAATTTCATTTTTGGTCTTTGAGTTGTATTTTGTAAAAATTCTTTAAATATTAAGAAAATTAGCCCTTTTGTCAACAAAATGTTATAAAATTTTCCCTGGTAATTCACTTTGTTCATGGTATTTTTGTATCAGAGTTCCTATTCTGATTTAGTAATTTACTCTAACTGAAACCTGGGGCAAGTATGTTAACCTCTTTATGCCTCAGTTCCTTCACTGAAAAATGGACAAAGAGTAATACTAGCTCTTACCACATAAAGTTGCTGTGAAGACAAAATAAGTAATACATAGTGTGTGAGGCATTTAGAACAGTGCTGGCACACAATTAAATGCTCAATAAATGTTAGTTTTTTGTTTTAAGTTGAGATTATATTAACTCCATGCTAACTTTTTTCCATACCAACATAAGGAAAACTGAAATCCATATGATTTTGAGTGTTTTTACTGAAAAGCCTTCTTTCCATTTAAGTCTTTGTGTCCCTCAGAGACATATTAAAGTTTTCTTCATACAGATTTTGTATGTCTTTTTTCCTAATGCAATGCTCACTTTCTCTCTCTGTGTCTAATGCAATGTTTTTTTTAATTATCTCGTCCAATATTAAGATCATACATTTTTGGTTGCATGTGCAAGTTATGTCTTTACCTGTCCTTTCATTTTTTTACTCTTCTTGAGTTTCTTTGTTTTTAGGAATGACTCTGAATAGTTTTCTTTGTGATCTAATTGGGATTTTCTATCAGGTAAATTCAGCCTATTTATATCTATTAATACGACATACTGAGGACTGTCCAGAAAAAGTCCAGCCATTGTTAATATAACAAGGACTGTTTGTGTTACACTGATGTAACCTGGCAGCCAAGGAGAGTGGACTGGACTGTGCACACGTAAACAATGATGACTTCACTGTACTAGTCAGCAAGGGCAGCAGATGCTGATGAGTAAGCATATGCACTGTGTGGCTGTTGCATTCAAAACGATTGAGTAGAGCAATGTATCTGCCTCAAATTTTGTGTTAAGCTTGAACATTCCTCTGCAGAAACTATTCAGATGATGCAGAAAGAAGCAGCTATGGGCAACAAGTGATTGGCAGCTCATCACAACAACACAGTAGCTCGTGTATCACCTCTCGAGCAGAATTTGGCAAAACATCAAATCACCCAGGTGACTCAGGCCCCCTATGGCCCAGATATGGCACACTGCAACTTCTGGCTTTTCCCAAAACTAAAATCACCTGTGAAAGGGAAGAGATTTCAGACAGTCGTTGAGATTCAGGAAAATACGACCAGACAGGTGATGGCGATGGGGAGAACTGTGTGAGGTCCCAAGGTGGCTACTTTAAGGGGACTGAAGTATCACTGTCCTATGTATAATGTTTCTTGTATTTTGTATCTTTTTCAATAAATGTCTCTATTTTTCAGAGTACATGGATGGATACTTTCTGGACAGATCTCATATATTTAATCTCCTTTGAGTTATCAAATTTTATGCTATATGATTTTATTCTTTGTTTTTATTGCTGCTTTATTTTCTTCAAAACAGTTTATGAAATGGGAAGGGCTTGCTTTGTTTTAGTAATACATGTAATTCTTATGATAATATGGGAGATACATTTTTTGTGTTAGTAGTTATTTCAGAGTAGAAGTCTAGGTTCTTTTAACTGCTTTTAAGTTCCAATATTATCTCTCTGACTTCATTTCCTACCACTCTTCCTCCCAATCACTCTGCCTTAGCCTCTCTGGACTCTTTCCTGTTTCTTGTATGCACCGGCCACGTCTCACTTCAGGGCCTTGCAACTGTTGCCTCTGCTTAGACTACTGTTTCTCCAGATAACTATTCGGCTCCCTCACTTCCTTCAAATCTTTACTCAAATTTCATTTTCCTACACTGTCCTACTCTGGCCATTCAATTCTATATGGCAGTGCCATCAATTGGTCTCTTTCTCTCTCTTTCTCTATATGTAATTATGTGTATACATATAGTGTAGCATAACATATAAATAGTATATCATAGTGTATGCTATATACTATGTACACTTGTAATAGTGTATAACATACACTATTTCTATTATAGGCAATGATGAACTTAATATAGT